TATAAGCACCAGCGGGGACCCGAAAAGAAGAGGATCCGGGCTGCTCTGTGAAAAACCACTAAGTATGACATGCTGGTTATTTAAAAAAAAAAAAAACACAAAGCTTTAGTGTCACTTTGAATCAAAATCATTATTTTCTGTTCACGTAAGAGAAAAAAATTTTTTTTGGAAATTTTCATTTGGAATCGGAAGTTGTGGAATTGCAAGTTGTGAACACACTGTCAGAAAATCGTACAATAATTCCTTGTATGGAAACGTTCGCCTGATTTTCTTTTAGTGTGGACCCTACTTAAAGTGGTTCTAAAGGTTCAAGGTTTTTTTACCTTCGTGCATTCTACCACCTTCTGTTTGCAGTGCCCCCCCCCCCCCAATCCTTACCTGAGCCCCCTCCGATCCAGTGATGTTCACAATATCCTCAGCTGATTCTCTCTCCTCATTGGCTGAGACATTGGCTCCCACTGCTGTCAATCACAGCCAGTGAGCCAATGAGGAGAGAGCGGAGGGACGGAGACGAGCTGAAGCTCTATGTATCTTATGGATACATAGAGTAGCAATTCGGGAGCGAGCACATAGTGGTGCCCCCAGGGCAAGCAACTTTCCCTGGGGGCACTACTCAAGGGTGAGGATCCAAAGTGTGGGACCCGAAAAGAAGAGGATCGGGGCTGCTCTGTGCAAAAGCATAGCACAGAGCAGGAAAGTATGATGTGTTTGTTATTTTATAAAAACTAAAAAACAGCTTTAGTATCACTTTAATTGTGCCAAAAAAAAGGGTTAGGGGGTACTCACCAGTGACCTCTGTCGGGGGCACTAACTCACGACCTCTGAAATCTGCAAGCTCTGCATTACATAGTCCTGACCCCTGCACCTAGACTGATGCACTGTATATGATATGTCACAATATTAGTTGTTTTTCAAATATTTTAGACTGTTTTCTTTTTGTAAAAAAAAAAATTCTGATTGAAATATCACCAAAAACAGCTCTATCTGTCTTTACCCACCTGCCCTCCAGAAGATTTCCCCCCTTCCTGTTCAGGCCATTTTTTGCATTACAGCACTGCATTACTCTAACTGACAATTGTGCGGTCATGCAACACTGCACCCAAATGAAATTTATGTCCTTTTTCTCCCACAAATAGAGCTTTCTTTCGGTGGCATTTGATCGCCTCTGTGTTTTTTATTTTTTGTGCCATAAACAAAAAAAGACCGACAATTTTGAAGAAAAAAAACTATATTTTTGACTTTTTGCTATAAAACATGTCCAGTAAAAAAAATTTAAAAAATCAAATTTCGTCATAAATTTAGGCCAAAATGTATTCTGCTCCATGTCTTTGCTAAAAAAAATCCCAATACATGTAAATTAATTAATTGAAAGTTTTAGTGTTTACAAATGGCGGTATATATACTGGAATTTATTTATTTATTACTAGTAATGACGGCGATCAGCGACTAATAGTGGGATTGCGGCGGGCATTCTGACACTGGGTGGGAACTGACTTGGTGTCACCGACATCCCCAGTGACACCAATACAGTGATCAATGCTAATAAAAAGCACTGACACTGTACTAATGGCACTGGGCAAGAAGGGGCGGACTGACCATTTGGAAACTCGGGCACTGCCCGAGGGCCCGGGGTCAGTAGGAGGCCCCATGAGATGCCCCTGGTACCTTTTTCATAGGCTTTTTTGAGTTTGGGCAAGGACACGGGGGCCCCATGATCCCCTATTGCCTGGGGGCCCAATGAGTTGTCAGTCCGCCCCTGGGAAGGGGTTAATATCTGGGATGATCAAAGGGTTAACTGTGTGCAGGGAGTGTTTTACTAGGGGCGGTGTCTGTGTGCTTCACTGTAATCACACAGCCATCCAAAGCAGTGTGCCTGAACTGTGTGCCTGAACTGTGTACTGTTTTACTATTTAGTCTGTGTGTGCTTTACTGTGCAAGCATGCTGCTTTTTATTGCTCTACAGACCTTTCCTCTGTCAGTGTTCCTTGGCGATCACCGGGGAATCTCCTGCTGGGACCAGGTGATCGACAGCTGTAGCTGCCAATGGCGCGCGCTCCCTACCAGAAAATACAAAATCACGTATATATACGTGATTTTGTGCAGCCCTGCCACCATGTAGCAGTAGTTCTGCTATAGGGCGGTTGGGAAAAGGTTAAAAACAAAGTTTTGGTACAATGTTGCATTCTCATGTGATTGTCAAACTATCACAGCGGTGAAACATGGTAATGTAGAGGTATTACAGGCTGGTACTCAAGTAGTTAATGAATGAATAACTGAAGAGTGATGTTCATGTTTGTACGGAGTTCCCCTTTATCCACTCTTCTTTTCAGGATAATTCCGCTTATGAATTACAAAACGATTCTTGAAAGGTGTCTGCGTGGAAAGGGGTCAATCTCTGCTTAAAGGAGATTACATAATGTATTTTACACGCCAGTGTGATTATATCCTTTCGTAGCTCCTGCTTTATTGTATGTCTTTCAAAAACCTCGAGACCTGTGAGCAGGCTGCCTTCCGGTCATTTTCTCGGCCCTGAGCGCTGATGAATACTCAGTCAACCTAACGGCTGGGTTCACATCTATGCAGGTTGCATTTGATGCATTTTTCCGGCACGTTTTGCAGTGCTTTTTGCTGTTTTGAACCTGCATTTTTTTATGTGTTTTTTACACATTTGTGAAATTTTTTTTTTTGCTAATAGGAAAGTATGACAGTTATTTATTTATTTCAGGTACTTATATAGTGCTGTCAATTTACACAGCACTTTACATATATATTGTACATTCACATCAGTCCCTAACCCTCAAGGGGCGTACAATCTAAGGTCCCTAACCCTCAAGGGGTATACAATCTAAGGTCCCTAACCCTCAAGGGGTATACAATCTAAGGTCCCTAACCCTCAAGGGGCATACAATGTAAGGTCCCTAACCCTCAAGGGGCATACAATCTAAGGTCCCTAACCCTCAAGGGGTATACAATCTAAGGTCCCTAACCCTCAAGGGGCATACAATGTAAGGTCCCTAACCCTCAAGGGGTGTACAATCTAAGGTCCCTAACCCTCAAGGGGTGTACAATCTAAGGTCCCTAACCCTCAAGGGGTATACAATCTAAGGTCCCTAACCCTCAAGGGGTGTACAATCTAAGGTCCCTAACCCTCAAGGGGTGTACAATCTAAGGTCCCTAACTCACATTCATATACTAGGGCCAATTTAGACAGGAGCCAATTAACCTATCAGCATGTCTTCAGAGTGTGGGAGGAAACCCACGCAGGCACAGGGAGAACATGCAAACTCCAGGCCGGTGGTGCCGTGGCTGGGATTCAAACCAACGACCCGAGTACTGCCAGCCGGAAGTGCTATCCATTTAGCCACTGTGCTGGCCATAAAGTTCTTTTCATGTAGTGCGACTTTGATGCTACTTGAGCGCCAGAGAGTGTGAACTCGCATCAGAGTCACACTACATGAGCAGAACTGTCATACTTTACTATTAGCCAATAAAAACCTAGCAAAATAAAAAATGCATTAAAAACTCAACATTTTTGGCATTTTTGTTATTTTTGGCGTGGGTCCATTACACACAAGACACAATCAGGAAAAAAAGTCCCTGATCCTTTCCAAAAAATGCACTAGCACAAAGCACACAGATGTGAAGTAGATCTGCAAAACGCCCTAAAAAAACGCATGAGATAACCAAGGATTAGGGGGGGATTACTTTTTGTATTAAAGGGGCTCAGTCACTAGGCCCATTCAGGCAAATGGATGGTGGCAAGACAGCAGGAGAGAGCAATGCTGCAGGAGCACTGTTCAGCACAGTAATACTTGACCCCAGTCTGTGATGACGCCGCCCCCGAGGGGCGGATCCAGGACAGCCTGGGCTCAGAAGTGAGTTAAGTGACCCTGGTTGTCATTCAGCAGTAACACTGAGGACACCTAGTTCCAGAAAGGAGTACTGCAAGCTACGGCTTCGGATTGGATATGCATTTACATTTTTGTTATGTATTTATTTACACATTCATGTAATTTTATTTTTTTGGGGAGCTGGAGTTCAGCTTTAAATGAAAGAATCACATATTTTACTAACCAATTGCACTAAATGGGCAGTTTAATTAATTACTGGTCACTTTCAGGTATAGGCATCACGTCCAACCAAATCTATTTATTTGTTTAATGTGATTCTAAAGGCTTAATGTATATTGGACCTTAATGCATGCTCTGCATTAAGGTAAAAAACTGTCTGTGTCACAGGATCCCTTCAGACCCCCCCCCCCCCATACTTACCTGAGCCCGATCCTGATCTAGCACCGTGCCAGAGAGCTGCTCTCTCCCACACCACAGAGCAGATTGATAGAAGGTGGAGCCTTTGGCTGCTGTCAAAAAAAATCCTGAGATGGGGGGGCGGGCCAAGCCGTGCTGTCGGAGTCTATAGATGCAGGCAGCGCAGGTCTGGATTGAGCCTGCACACTTGCCTCCATAGAGGGCACTCACAGAAGAGGTGGAAAACCATCGCACAGAGAAAGTAGTTATGTTTATTATTTTGAAAACAAAAAAAACAAAACAAAAAAGGTTTACAATCACTCTAAGTATGTAATACAGGACTTATTTGTCAGAGAATAGGTGGCGGTATTCACGTCCCCTCGCCCACACAAACCCTTCACCCCCATCCCCAATGCCTGTTCCCCAGGGGAGCAAAGTAATGTGGTGTGCATTGCACCAAATATTGGGGTGTGGTGAAGGAACTAGAATTCTGCATGCACACGTGGCAATGTTTTTAAAGAATCTTGATTGATTTAATGTTACTGTATATATCAGCCTTTCTTAACCAGGGTTCTGTGGAACCTTCGAGTTCCTCCAAAGATTGCTAGAGGTCTTTGAGCAATGAACAGATTTGTACATTTTGACATCTGACCACCAATATAAGGAGCATTCTTCCCACTGACCACCAATATAAGGGGCATTCTTCCCACTGACCACCAATGCAAGAAGCATTCTGACCACTGACCTCCAATGTAAGGAGCATTCTTCCCACTGACCACCAATATAAGGAGCATTCTTCCCACTGATCACCAATCTAAGGAGCATTCTTCCCACTGACCACCAATGTAAGGAGCATTCTTCCCACTGATTACCAATATATTATTATTATTATTATTATTATTATATAGCGCCAAAGGGTTTATGTAGCGCCAAATGTAAGCTCAGCGCTGTACAATAGGGGGGGGACAATACATGGCACAGTACAACAAAGACAGACAGCGTACGAGGGGTAAGAGGGCCCTACTCTTATATAAGGAGCATTCTTCCCACTGACCACCAATGTAAGGAGCATTCTTCCCACTGACCACCAATATAAGGAGCATTCTTCCCACTGACCACCAATGCAAGAAGCATTCTGACCACTGACCACCAATGTAAGGAACATTCTTCCCACTGACCCCCAATGTAAGGAGCATTCTTCCCACTGACCACCAATGTAAGGAGCATTCTTCCCACTGACCACCAATATAAGGAGCATTCTTCCCACTGACCACCAATGTAAGGAGCATTCTCTTCCCACTGACCACCAATCTAAGGAGCATTCTTCCCACTGACCACCAATATAAGGAGCATTCTTCCCACTGACCACCAATATAAGGAGCATTCTTCCCACTGACCACCAATGCAAGAAGCATTCTGACCACTGACCACCAATGTAAGGAACATTCTTCCCACTGACCCCCAATGTAAGGAGCATTCTTCCCACTGACCACCAATGTAAGGAGCATTCTTCCCACTGACCACCAATGTAAGGAGCATTCTTCCCACTGATCACCAATATAAGGAGCATTCTTCCCACTAACCACCAATGTAAGGAACATTCTTCCTGCTGACCACCAACCTAAGGAGCATTCTTCCCACTGGCCACCAACCTAGGGGGCATTCTTCCCACTGGCCACCAACCTAGGGGGCATTCTTCTCACTGACCACCAATCTGAGGAGCATTCTTCCCACTAACCATCAATGTCAGACACATTCTTCCCACTAACCACCAATGTAGGACACATTCTTCCCACTAACCACCAATGTAGGACACATTCTTCCCACTAACCACCAATGTAGGACACATTCCTCTCACTGACGAGCAACATAGAACACATTCTTCCCACTGACCACCAATGTAAGGAGCATTCTTCCTGCTGACCACCAATGTACAGAGCATTTTTGCCACTGACTCCTAATGTAAGGAACATTCCTCTACTGACCACCAATGTAAGGAGGATTCTTCTACTGACCACCAATGTAAGGAGGATTCTTCTACTGACCACCATATTATGAGCTGTGGATATAGTAACTTTTAGCAGGGGCCATTATAAGGGTTCCTTTGTGTATAAACGTTGAGAAGAGTGTTATACATATACCTTCCGTCTACAGTCTCCTGAGGAAGTAAATCATTGGTGCATGAAACTCGTTGACTTGGGATCATTGGACATTTTGTTTTTAATTATTTGGACTTGCATAGATGCGTATATATGATGGGTAAGAGATGGAGGTATTGACCATGGTTTAGTCTTCAGAAGTGTAGCTGATTATGGAATTTTACATTCATATACTAATGAAATTATTATATAGTGATATTATTTTTTGATAGGATAATGTGTGTACCCATAAAGTCCTATGTAACCTGTTCATGAAAGTCGGAGACAAATCTCTGATCCTTTTATTTTTATCTGTGTGGCCAGGAAAAGTGTTCCAGTGAAAACTTTTTTTTTTATGAAACGGTGATTTCCATTTTGATGCGATGATGTTGTGTCATTTGGCTGTTATGTATTGTGCCTTGATACAGCCCTATGGAAGGGAGGATGACTCACCCTATAACCAGGGATGGCAGATTTGCAATGGATGAATGATACATCACTGCCCAGCAGACACAAATATGTTCCCTGATGAGTAGTGACTGGCGCACAGTCAGTCTAGCAGATGGCTCAGGTTGTGCATTTCAGTTAGTGAGCTAAGTTTTAATACATAGGAGCAGGGCTTGTTTTCAGCGGGAACATGGGGAACACAGTTTCGGCACCTCCAGCACTGAATGTATGTAACGGCATAGGAAGCTGGGGTGTGCTGGAGGGTCTATTGATCCTGGCTACTGGGGGATCTATTGTCGCTTGTGGGGATCTATTTTTGCATTGGTCTGTATTGTTGCTGGGCAGGTCTATTGTTGCTGGGGTGGGGTCTATTGTTGTGTGTCGGGGGTCTGTTGTTGCTGGGATGGGGTCTATTGTTGTGTGTGTGGGGGGTCTATTGTTGCTGGGGTGGGGTCTATTGTGTGTGGGGGGTCTATTGTTGCTGGGGTGAGGTCTATTGTTGTGTGTGGGGGTGTCTATTGTTGCTGGGGTGGGGTCTATTGTTGTGTGTGGGGGTGTCTATTGTTGCTGGGGTGGGGTCTATTGTGTGTGGGGGGTCTATTGTTGCTGGAGTGGGGTCTATTGTTGTGTGTGGGGGTGTCTATTGTTGCTGGGGTGGGGTCTATTGTTGCTCACTGCAGGGGATCTATTTTATTGTCTTGTTATCATTAACAAATTACTTAGTAGCACAAAATTATCTGTATGCTCTAAAAAGGGCGGTACTGGAGGTGGGTAGGGGGTGGAACCATAGGACAGTGCTCAGAGGTGGGTAGGGGGTGGAACCATAGGACAGTGCTCAGAGGTGGGTAGGGGGTGGAACCATAGGACAGTGCTCAGAGGTGGGTAGGGGGTGGAACCATAGGACAGTGCTCAGAGGTGGGTAGGGGGTGGAACCATAGGACAGTGCTCAGAGGTGGGTAGGGGGTGGAACCATAGGACAGTGCTCAGAGGTGGGTAGGGGGTGGAACCATAGGACAGTGCTCAGAGGTGGGTAGGGGGTGGAACCATAGGACAGTGCTCAGAGGTGAGTAGGGGGTGGAACCATAAGACAGTACTCAGAGGTGGGTAGGGGGTGGAACCATAGGACAGTGCTCAGAGGTGGGTAGGGGGTGGAACCATAGGACAGTGTTCAGAGGTGGGTAGGGGTGGAACCATAGGACAGTGCTCAGAGGTGGGTAGGGGTGGAACCATAGGACAGTGCTCAGAGGTGGGTAGGGGGTGGAACCATAGGACAGTGCTCAGAGGTGGGTAGGGGGTGGAACCATAGGACAGTGCTCAGAGGTGGGTAGGTGGTGGAACCATAGGACAGTGCTCAGAGGTGGGTAGGGGGTGGAACCATAGGACAGTGCTCAGAGGTGGGTAGGGGATGGAGCCAAGGAACGGTGCTCAGAGGTGGGTAGGGGATGGAACCATAGGACAGTGCTCAGAGGTGGGTAGGGGGTGGAACCATAGGACAGTGCTCAGAGGTGGGTAGGGGGTGGAACCATAGGACAGTGCTCAGAGGTGGGTAGGTGGTGGAACCATAGGACAGTGCTCAGAGAGTGGGTAGGGGGTGGAACCATAGGACAGTGCTCAGAGGTGGGTAGGGGATGGAGCCAAGGAACGGTGCTCAGAGGTGGGTAGGGGATGGAACCATAGGACAGTGCTCAGAGGTGGGTAGGGGGTGGAACCATAGGACAGTGCTCAGAGGTGGGTAGGGGATGGAGCCAAGGAATGGTGCTCAGAGGTGGGTAAGGGGCGGAGACAAAGAATGACTCAGAAGGGGGGAGTCCCTGCACTTATTCTCTGAGAAAAAAAAGCCCTGCATAGGAGCAAACATGAAGGAGATCATTTGTGAACAGTGAGAGAAGAAGGCGTATATATACGTGATTTTGCGGAGCCACACCACCCTGTAGCAGTTCTCCTGCTATAGGACAAGTGGTGAAACCCTTGCATTGCTGGGTTGCTCTAGTCACAGTTCATGATGTTCTGTATATGGGCAGTTCATGAAATGGATCTATGATTACCCTGACGGCCTTCTGCTGTATTGTCAGCCTGGCCCCCTGATCTGGATCATGATATAGCTCCAGGATAATACATCTCTGTCCTTCCCGGGGTCATAGACTGCCTGGCTCACGCGGGTGTCAGGGATCTCTTGGTACAAGACCTAGATATAGCAGAGATGTGACACGCGGTGTAAAGACAGGCAGCCGTTTTGTAGGATGAACGTGTCCGGATGATTAGCGGGTAGCAGCCAGAGCATATGACATCACGTAGCGGAAGAGAGACTTCCTGATTGCTTTTTTTTATGGGGGTCACCCTGCTGCCAGCGTGGGGAGAGAACAGACACAACGCATGGATGCCGTTATTTTTAGACTGCTTCATTTTGCTGACAAGAAAGATTTTTGTTTCCTGTTGTCTGCGGGGTACTCATACTTTAACTGCTATTATGTGGCAGCTGGCATATGTAGGGTACTGGATGGGGTCATGTGACCTGGCCCTGTAGTGCTGCGAGTCACTGTTATAGGAAATTCATTAAATTGTATCTTAAGCAAATACTTTTTTATATTGTGGATGGAGTAAGGAAGCTTTAGAACCCTTCCCCGGTTTTATTTGTTGTCCGTGTTCACACTGGGGACATTCCAGCTCTGTCCAGCTGACCTCTGCCAAAAGTGAAGAAAAAAACTATATTTTAATGTGTCCTTTTTTAATGTTGCATAAATAAAGCAGAAAATAAAAAAAAAGTATTATTTCATTTTTAAATTTCATTTGTAAATGTCTTTAATCGCTTCCTGAACGTTCTATAGGAGAAATACTGCTACAGGGCGGCACGGGTGTGCAAAATCACGTGTATATATAGGGGGCGCGCATGCACTACCCGCACCACCGTTCACAGCCGTGGCTGTCAATCACCGGGAACCAGCCGGTGATTATGTGCCAACAACCGGTGGTTACCAACAATCACCCATGGGGAGGAGAAATGTTTTGTTTACTAACAGTTCTCCTCCCTGTTGGCTTGGGCACACTGCTTTGGATGGCTGTGCACAGCACAGCACAGCCATCCAAAGCAGTGTGCTTACAGTGAAGCACACAGACACTGCCCCCTAGTAAAACACACCCCAGCACACAGTTAACCCTTTGATCGCCCTCATGTTAACCCCTTCCTGAACAGTGCCATTAGTACAGTGTCAGTGCTTTTTTTTTTAAGCACTGATCACTGGTGTCACTGGGGATATCAGTGACACCAAGTCAGTCCCCCCCCAGTGTCAGAATGTCCGCCGCAGTCCTGCTATAAGTCGCTGATTGCCGCCATTACTAGTAAAAATTAATAAAAAAAAAAAATATTTCAGTATATACCACCATTTGTAAACGCTATAACTTTCATGTAAACCAATTCATTTACATGTTTTGGGATTTTTTTTTAGCAAAAACATGTATCGGAATACATTTTTGGCCTAAATTTATGACTGAATTAGATTTTTTAAATTTTTTTTTACTGGACATTTTTAATAGCACAAATATTGTTTTTTTTTTCTCAAAATTATCAGTCTTTTTTTTTTATAGCACAAAAAATAAAAAACACACAGGCAATCAAACCACCAAAAGAAAGCTCAATTCTTGGAAAAAAAGGGATGTCAATTTAATTTGGGTGCAGCGTTGCATGACTGCACAATTGTCAGTTGAAGTAATGCAGCGCTGTAAACACAAAAAATGGCCCGGTCAGGAAGGGGGGTAAATCCTCAGGAGGGCAAATGGTTAAGACAAACATAACAAGTAAATAATAAAAGAAGTTCCTATTAAACCCCGAATTGCTCTTACTTAACTCTAATCAGCCCTAATTAATTCCTTATTCCCCTTAGCTGTTATTTTCCTCTTTTTTTTTTTTTTTTTTGATTTCTATTTTTCTGAATAATATTTCATTTATAATTTAATTAA